TGTACACTGTCAAGGTTACAAGGCGGAGAAAAAGACACTAAATGTGTGGCTCGGAAATGGTGCCGCAACTGACACTCAAACTATCTGAGAATGCTGTGGATTGATCTGCGATTAGCTCTGCTGCAGGCTAGGCTCACATAGGGACGTGGCTTTCTGTTCTCTAACCTACTGGGGATGTAGCCTCACAAATACCAGGAGTATTTATGGAAGGCCTGGGTGTCATGGCAACTGAGGGATTGTGTGTAAAACGCGGAGGGGAATGGAAAGGCCAAGCTATACACAACAACTGATTGCACTGTATTTAAAGGGAAACACCAAGTAATATGGAATAATAGATGTGCATGCTCTCTCTCTGGCCTATGACCGTTCTGTGATATGTATATGATAATGTGTCAAATACGAACAACTCCTTTCCAGAGCCTGAAACTAAAACTTTTTTCTTCGGCAATTGCTTTGCAGTAAAGTCCATTCTCAGTGGATGTGCACTGGTGTTTTTCTAGTTTCCACATCAGTAGAAGAAAGTGAAAGCATCCTTCTAGTGTCAAACTCTGCACAGTGAAGCTCAAACATCCAAGTGACTTAACAATGAGTAAAACATATTTTTAGACTTAAAGTGCTTTACCTTTAAGTAAAAAGCCTTTTCTTCTGTACTACTGTTAGTATATGACAGTATCACAGTTTTTGTTAAATATCTGTCGATTCTTGATTCTGTTTCTGATCATGTTATGTATTTGAGCAAAACGTAAACTTTTTGTGGTTATCTCAGTGTTTCCCGTATGTCACGTTCTACCAGTCAGGTAACATATAGCCAACAGCTATGCTCAGAGCTGTAGTGAAGATACCATCGATGCAACATAAAGGCCTCAGTGTGCTTTAAATTTAGAACTTGTTATGGACAACATCTGAACCTCCTTTCCAGTGGCAGACTCAGAACAGGGTGTGTCCCAGATGATGAAACAATCACGTCCTCTCCTCAGAGGTGTTTGCTGAGGTGTTAAAGTAAGCGAAATTTCAACTTCATGCTGCTTCACAACTGAATTAAATGTCCTTCAACATGTGGAAGATTTTCTGCACTAAGCAAATCTGTTGTTAAGATCCCTTGAAAACTGTTTAACTGTGACCTCATACTGCACTTATAAAAAAGTCCAATCAATAAAGCCAATACGAATATTCAGACCCAAACTTTACATTCCAGTGAAGGAATATCATATAATGTCACTGCAGGCCTGTTATTATGAGACAAATGAACACTGCAGTAGGCCTGCAGAATATATTCGATCAGGGAGGTTAGGCCTGTCTGCAATTGAAAGCCCATTATTCAGATACTGTATGAGCCCAAGTTGAGCCTGTTACTTAAAGATAGTGTTTGGTTGTTTCTTGCGTTAAAGATGTAAGGCTGGTGAATTTCTGTCTGTCTACACTGTGTCTGCTAGAGTTTGTCAGGTCCACAGGTTTCCAGTAAGTCCAGTTTAACCTTTTGTTAGCAACATGCTTTCCTGCCACAAATAAATAAATACATTCCCAACAAATGGAAAGAGCCTCTTTAAGTCTTTACTGCAGAAATGGACTGGATTCAATTAGAAATACCGGATGGTCCTGTTACAAGATACAGGAAGTGTGCCCAACAACAAATGAAAAAAATAGAAATAAATGCTTCCTGTTGTCTAAAATCTGACTGCTTTCAAGAGCTTGACAGGAGAGTTTGTAAGGATGTAATCTTTATAAACAGATATCTGCGTATGAATGCAGAATCTGTTGGTGAGGGACAACATTTTAGCATCAGAAGGTTCAGGTTTCTGTTTGGAGTCCAAGTAGTATTGACCAATAATGTTTGAGCAAGTTTTGTTTGCATGCAGGTGAACAGTCTGTGTGAAGAGCAAAAAAGGCGGGAAGCACTTGCTGAAATTTACCCTCAGCGGAACCCACCAGGTATTGTCTGTTTTTTAATAAAACTGCATTCCCATGTGGATCTGTTTATGGAGATTAGCCGTGTCTCTCTCATCATTCTTGCGTATCAAGGTGCTGATCAGACTGCAGAGGAAGTCATGGCCCAGATATCTGTTTTCTGGATACCTGCTGGCTACACCTGGCCTCGAAACATTTGGCATTGCCCAGAGTCTAAATTGTCGTCAACGAGATTGGTGAGCATGCAGCTCAACTAGGTTCGGGAACAAAAACCACACCCTGCAATCATCTAATTTCCGCTCAAAACTTACTTAAACACACCTTATCCGTTTACTCCCTCCTTGACTCATTTTTCACATCCCTCTCCCCAAACCCTTTCTTTTATATCTCTCTCTCTTATCCAAATACAAGAACCACTGGGGCTCTTTACAAGA